AGGAGGAGGAGGAGGAGGAGGAGTGTCTCAATTGCCCAGATTGCAGGCATGAAGACAGAATGGCTTCTCTCCAGGTGCACAACCCACTGGTGTTCCTGAGGTTTTCCCCAGTCGGTTTTCTGAGACAGGAGGCCCAGGGAATTCCACAGACCATCAACCTGTGGGCACCACTCCCCAGCAGATGGTCAAGGGGAGCCTGCTCGCCTGCTGGCCTGCTGGGCCCCAACTGCCCCCTCCCGCTGGCCTGATCACGCCCAACTGCCCCTCACTGCCAGCCTGCTTGCCCCAACTGGCCTCCCCTGCTGCCCCCCCAGCTACCCACCAGGTAGCTTATGTGCCCCCAACAGAGCTCAAGGAGGCACAGGGTCCCGGCGGGAGGAGCCCAGGGCCCCGAGCGTGCCCTGCTGGGGTCACCCTCCCTGCACTGGAGGAGAGAGCCAGACCCGCGGCCCCTCGTCATCGCATCCTGGGATGGTTCAGTGGAGTCAGGGCAACGGGGTCTCAGAGGAGGTCAGAGGGGGACCTGAGGGTACCCCACCCAGAGGAGGTGGTGGGGAGGGGGTGCTCACCCCCATAACTAAGGCTGAATTCAGAAGGAAGGCGGTAGCTGTTGTGGTGGAGCAGGACCCAGTCGGGATGGGTCCCCGAGAACCAGGCTGCCCGGGGCTGGGCCTGCGCCTTCCCTCTGCACTTGCTGGCCTCCGGGCTCTACGCAGTGTCTCCGGACAGAGGCCCATGGGCTGCTCCCAACCCGGGGTCACCATGAGCAAAACTGGCCAGTCCAGTGTCCTTTGTTCTGGCGAGAAAGGACTTGTCACTCTGCTCGCCTCAGAAGGCCTCGTGCTCTGAGTAGGTGCGAGTCCCGGGGCTGTGCTGGCTCCTGAGCTTCTTGTCATCTGTACTGCAGCCCCTCTGGGCCGGGTGCACCCTCCTGCCAGGCGATGGGTGCTGCGCGCGGGTGCTCAGACCTCCGGTGACTGACGGTGCTGCTGGCTCCGGAAGAGCCTGCATGTGTGCAGACCGTGGCTGTCCCCGGCTGGGCGGCCTGGAGAGCGAGGGGCAGGTCCCCACAGCCCTCCATGCCCTTCACAGGCAAAAAGGTGTCCTGTGAACAGCAGGCCTCTGTTTGCTCTGGAGTCACGGTCACCCCCCGCCCCACCCCACCCCCGTCCCAGGGCTAACATTTCCTCTGTTTGCGCCTCTTGCTCTGCAAAGCACGGGGCCCACAGCCACAGCCAAGGTGCGGCGGGCTTGGGAGCAGGCCGAGTGGGCGTTCAGTACACGCTCAGCCGCTCAGCGTGCTTACGGGGCCTGTGGCTCCCCGGCTCTGCTCCAGGCTGGAGGAAGGCGCCTGCAATTCTATGTCTGGAAAATAGGAGGGTGGCTCGGCAGAGGCTGCTCTGCTGGCTTCCTCTGGAGCATTGGGGGTCACCGTGGGGGCGTTCAGCCAGCCTCGTTCCAGGAGTCAGGCTGTGCCTGTGACTTGCTTATCTTTCCTCTGTTGCTGATATATTTACATTTTCTTTTTGATTTGTTTGTTATGTGTTTTACTTGATGTTTTCCTGTAAATTGCCTTGCATTCACCCTGGAATAATATTGGGCATAAAAAATGCAAACAGTTACAAGGAGCTAAAAGGAAACACATCAGCAAAACTAGGCAGCCATTGCAGCGTGAGCAGGAGAGTGGGGCTCGGCCAGCATCCCCCCTGAGCCAGACCCCCAAGAGCGCAGGTGACCTGCATGCAGCAGCCTGGGGCCCAGGAGACCAGGGCCTCTCGGGCCAGCATGACTCGGCCCTGAAGAGGAGCTTGGCCACTTTCTAACTGCAGCTGTGGCAGGTCATCTAGATCGGAGCCCAGGTCTCAGCAGTGAAACCAGTGTGGTAAGAACCACTAGAATGTACCGCGAGGACTGGCATGTGGACTGGTCAGCGCCCACTGCCTTTCAGCGAGGCAGCCCCTGTCAGTGCTGGGCTGCGCACCTGCCCCGCCCGAGGCCCTCCCTTCTCCTGGAATGCTAACGCTGCCAGCCATCACAGGCTTGGCAAGATAGCTCACTTCTCTGTGCCTCAACGGAAGTAATCATCTCAGAGGGTTGACATGAGAATTAAACACGATTGTTGAAGCACTCAGAACATTTCTTCTTTTTTAAAATATTGTTTATTGATTTTAGAGCGAGAGGGAGAGGTAGCGACAGAGAAACATCCATGAGAAAAACATTGATCGGCTGCCTCTTGCATGCCTCCTCCTGGGGATGGAGCCCGGGCCTGGCATGTGCCCGACCTGGAATCTAACCATGACCTCTGGGTGCACAGGACGATGCTCAACAAGCTGAGCCACACCAGCTGGGCAGAACCTCCTTAACACATAGGATGTGCTGGATGCATGTGATTAATCATCCTTCAGGCTTCCAGCTCCCTGTCACCTCCTCACTGAGGTTTCCCTAACGCTCCCGTTCAGGCCACCGTCCCGAAGCCCCACTCGCAGCATCTGCCTCCATCCCATCGTGTTGGGCACAGCTTCTGACTCCACTCTGACTGCTGTACTTGTTTGTGTGTGTGTGTGTGTGTGTGTGTATGTGTCTCAGAAGCTCAGCATGGAGAACATCATACTTGGCACAGTGAATGAGTGAGTGATTTGGCTAATCCTACTGGGAGCGACTTAGGATACAGTGACTGAAGCTCGAAAGAAATCATGTTGTAAGCATGACTCCTCAGTCCGCAGCTGAGTGTGTGGCTCACCCCTTCTGCATTGCCAGCTCCCTCTCCTCACGCCCAGGGCCCACCTGAGGCCTGGTGTGCTTTCCCTCGGACCTCATCCTTGGGAGGTGGGACGGGGGTGGGGGTGGGGAGTGGAGAGGGTCTGGAGGCTTTTGAGGAGGAGAGGATCAAAGCCAGACCTGTGTTTTGGAAAGTGCACACACAGTGAGGAGCAGATGGGCGGGAAAGGCAGGGGCCAGAGCGGCTGATGATGCACCCTGTGTGGTGGGGCCGCTGAGGGCAGAAGGTCAGGACCTGTGGCTCACGTGCCTGCGTCCTGTCTTGCAGAATCCTGGAGCTGCAAGACACCGGGGACCTGGACGTGCTGAAGCAGAAGTGGTGGCCGCGCACAGGCCGCTGCGACCTCACCAGCCACGCCGGCGCCCAGGCCGACGGCAGGGCCCTCAAGCTGCACAGCTTCGCCGGCGTCTTCTGCGTCCTGGCTGTCGGCCTCCTCCTCGCCTGCCTGGTGGCCGCCCTGGAGCTGTGGTGGACCAGCAACCGGTGCCGCCAGGAGACCCCCAAAGAGGTCGGTGCGGGCCATGCTCCCCGTTCTGCAGCCAAGGCGGGGAGTCCTGGGTGGTGGCGGGCAGTTTCCGTCCGGGCGGTGCCGACTGAGGCTCCTGCCATAGACAGCGGTGCACATGAGGGAGGACGGTGTCTTTGTTTCATTTTGATTTTAAAGCCAGAGACCACATGTAGGGGGTGTTTTCATGTCCAACAAAGTGCCAAGGCAGCAGCCATGGCCGCTGACTTTCCCTGAAGAGTGGGCACAACCTGAACCACGCAGGAGGGCCCACCCTGCTGCCCGTGCCCACCCGACCTGCAGGGCCCAGCCTGGTTCTCCTGGGCTTCTCACCCAACCCAGTGGAGGGGGCTGGCCCTGCCCCTCCCCCCCCCCTTCCTTTCCCCCCTTCTGGCCTGCAGAGCCTGGCCCGCCCTC